CAAAGACGGCCAGAAGGCGTTGGAGTACAAGGTGCACGTCAGCGATGTCAAGATCGGTGGTCGCGTACTCGTTGCGGAAGACGACGACAACGATGCCGCCGAACCACAGGAATCCAGGGGTCTTCTCAGCCCCTGGAGTCCAATACACAATGCCATTGACGCTCTGGACTCGCCGTTCTTCCCTCAATCCGATCGCATCATCGACCGGGACAGCGGTATAGACCTCGAAGGCCTCGAACACATGGATCATCACAGCGACCATTCTCGTGCAGCATCACCCACGGACGACGGACAAGATCAGTCTAGAAGTCCTGTCAAAGAATTCCGTCCCAAACTACCCGGTACATGGATCTCCTACGCAACAACCCGCGAGTCCGACCTAAAGAAACACGAGACCCTGAGTCCCCTTGGTTCCCCATTCGAAGAGCGAATCAGATACCTCCACGCGTCCATTGACGCCCTGGAAGCATCTTCATAACCACACACACACATACATACGCACGCACGCACGCACGCACAGCTCACACTTATCTCTCTCTTGCTTTGCTCAACTTTGCACATACCCACCTTTTTTTCTCGCTTCATCTTGCATGCATAGGGCACAACGGCGTTATACCATAAAGGACATTTTGCATTTTCCACCTTACTTCCAAACCGGCGCACAACGGCACAATGCGTCGAATGCGATTTCGACGCCCCCCACGACCGTTTCCTTTGTTTTTCATTCTACTTCCATGACGGCCGCTATATATACATACCACTCTCGTTCAACTTCAATAATGTTTTTGAATCTACGGCCAAAAATCTTGGGAGCAAGATTTGGCTGCTTTACTTGGGCTCGTGTCTACGCGTGTTGTGTGCACAAAGTCAGTTCGGTTTTTATGATACCCCCCACAACTACTACTACTACTCAGTTGCGAGAGAGAGAGTTTTTATATAAGAAATCTTTACATAGCCAATATACGTCGCTTTACACTTTTGAAGAACCTTGTTGGGATTTAGTGTGTATGCGCTTGAAGGTTATCGGGATGAGGTCGTTTCAACGAGCTACGTTGCTCAGCTTTAGGTTTAGCACCCACGCGAGTACGACACTTTGCTTCATCACATGACCGTCTCTCGTGTGAATCACGAAATAGATTATCTCAGCGTGCGCAGGATGAGAACAACATGAGTCAAGTGTCAATAAAAGGAAGGGTGAAGAATGAAAAATGTGTGCTTCCATTAAGGCATGGTAAGAACCCGGTCTATGTATGAACCTCTCTAGTAAATTCCATTAATCCATGATACGTCCCTCTATCGAGGTGAGAAATACGTCAGCACATTAGCCAGCCTTGATCTACGGGTATCCGAACAAAGAAAGATGCAGTGAAAAGAGAACTGTAAGAATCCTGGAAGGTGCAAGATATGAGAAGTGACGAAGATCTAAGCCCAGTAGCCGAGCAGAGCCATCAAACCTGGCATTACGTTAGTATAAATTCAGTAGTACGAGGAAAAGGCAAAGACTTACCAGCACCAAGAACCATAAGCCCAAACGCCTTAAGCGTCCTACTAACAGGTCCCTTCTGCATATACGGGCTAAACATAAACTCATGCGCCATAAGCTCCACAAGACCCGTGTAAATCAGAATACCAGCGGAGATGGAATCGAAAACACCATTCGTCAACAGCGTAGTCCTGCTCTCAGGCGCAAAAGACTGGCGCACGCCCAGACCAATCGCAATGGCAATGGGGGTCGAGATACCGTAGCCGAGACCAAGGAAGTAAGGGGTCCAGCGCTTGGACGCGGGCCAGGGGACTTCAGCGAGACGGGTACCCAGACCGAGGCCTTCGAACATTTGGTGGAAGACGAGGACGATGTAGAGGGTGATGAATTCCTCGCCGGCTACGGCAAGGGTGAGGCCGATGAAGATGGAGTGGAAGATGACACCGAACTCGAGGATGAAGACGGCGGTTAGTTGCGAGGCGTAGCCGTCTGGGACGAGGGGCCGGGGTGCCATGTCGGACTTCAGCTCGGCTTCATGGTCGCGTTGGTGGCCAAGGTGGTCGTCGCCGCGGATGTTGTGGTTGCCGCTGCTGCCTCCGGTGCTACCCTCGAGGTCGTGGGCTTTGTCGTCAGCGTGGGCGGCTGGGGAGATGCCAGTGGGTTCGTGGCTGTGGCTGTGGTCGTGGTCGCTGCCGAACTTGGCGTAACGCATTGTCATGAGCTCGAGGAAGAACATGAGGAAGAGCGTCATCAGGGCGATGCCCTCGGGCCAAGGGTACTTGGCGATGACACCAGTCAGACATTCGTTACCGAGAGCTTCGTTTGCTGGGGCCAGGAGATGGATGAATGCCGTTGTGATGATGACGCCTGAACCGAAGTACTTGGCGGCGAAGAAGACCCAGTTGGGGACCAGCTTGCTACGGGAACGTCTTGCTAGGACGGGGAACATGGCACCTGTGCGATGTTAGCATGCGAAGATCGGCGGGGTTTCTTGTACATACCGAAGCTGGATGCTACCAGGATGACAAAGATGGACGAGATACGGGTGCCCATGCGGCCATCGTACTCGTTGTCGCCGCCGCAGGTGATGACCTCCTCAGGTTGCGACTCTGCGCCGTCATCTTGACGGAGCACAAGGCGTGCAATATCGAGGGCGGTAGAAGCCATGTTGTTGGGTAGAACACTGGCAACTGAGTGAAGAATAGTGATAGTATTGAAGATTCGCTTGATACAAATTTAGACAAGATGTACTTCAATATTGTCGATCTCTGGTTGGCGTGGACCCGAGTGACCCAGATGTTTGGTAATGGTTCAGTGGAGAAGCAACCCTTGGGAGAAGCTTGGTTCGGCTGGGCGTGTCTTGTGCAGTCTTGGGTAACAACAAGCACTATATATTGGATCCTTTGGACGCAATCAAGCACCTTGATGGACAGAAGGAAATGCTTGACGGTGCTTTGATGGGTCTTCAGGAAGGATTCACGGAGTACGGAACTGGTTGGACGTGTGAAGGCGGGCGATATACCAGAAGGGTCTTACTCAGAGTACCCTGATGGCACGCTAAGGGCGAATATTCCACTGGTGCATAGCTTGCAGAGCCTATGGGGTCCAGTATAGCTGTCACCCGTGGGGGGAGGCGTATGTAAAGTGCCTTCGAGAGCGCGCTGAACGTGGGACTTTTTCAATCATGGTGTTGGTGTGGCATGTGCGACGCCGCGGTTGTTACGATGCGGCGAACGTGCGTTCAGTAGCAGTCAGCCGCAATCCTAGGCCCGATTCCACTTACTTGAGCTAGGACCTGCCGAAACCTCAACAGGCCCACGTCTACATCAATCTCTGAAGCCGCATTGCCGCATGCCTCGACCGAGGGACATGAAGGCGACAGCGCGATGCCCGTATTACACGACCTGGGCCCTCGTTCAAATACGAGACGGGCTGGAATAGACGCAGTGGTTCAAAGACGAGAGTGTCTGCTCACCGGCGTCGCGCGGTACTGCAGGATGCGGTGCATCTACTACAGACACGGATGGAAAATACTGGACGCGTTCCTGGCTAGAATGCAAAATGAGGTCGCGGGCTTGCGCGCATTCGATGCTGAACTTCGAGTGCAACGGCGCAATCATTCCGACTCTTCCGAATTCCGAATGACAGTTCCTTACGATGCAGGCGCCCAGATCAGAAGGTACGATCAAGCTGGCGCTTCGAAATTGCTGAAAGATCTTGAAGGACACTTCCGAGCCGTGCCGGAACCTTGACAAAGAAGATTACTTTGACGACAGCCAAAAAGAGGAGGCGGGCTACGCGGTGGTGACACTTGCAAAGCCATCAAGTACCGAGCAGGTAGCCGACAAGGCCTGACAGGCATGCGCGAAGATCTGTACATATTGGTGAAGCGGTGGAAATCTGCTGTTCAGCTGATGAGGCTGTCGCGATGTACCTACTTGGCGCATTGCCAGATACAACGTACAAGGCTGTCGATCTACGCAAGTCGCAGAACCACTTGTAACAAGTAACTGCATCTAGGTTTGACCGGCCGCGCTGATGTGAGGGTGTACAGGCGTATGCACTCCGCCTTCTCCGCACTGCCGCGTGATCCGGTGACAAGTACCTAGGTATCGTCTCAACACATGAGGTGATGGACAGCGATGCGCGTCTACAATGAAGAGTCGTCTGGGATGCTGGCTATAAAGTGCAAAGCTATGCACTTCGGGCCGTTCGGCTGTCGAGTAGCTCTGGATGGTTGGTCCACATCACACCACCGTGAGGGGCTGTGGACTGACGGAATGTAAAACGCGCGCCAATGTACAGCGGGCGGGGTCGCGTCGCATATACTCGGAGTACAGCTCGATGGGCATGGCGATGTCAGCAAACTCGATAGAATCGAGGCGATCGTGGGACCCATCCATGAGACACATGCCGGCGCACGGAGGAGGAGATCGAAAAGTTAATACAATCGGTGGTACTGAAACCGGTTTGCCAGGGCTAGAATGGGAGCAGTGGGAGCTGCTGGGGGCGTGCACAGCGCGTTGCTGTGGGGAACATCCTGGACGGCTTGGCGTGATGAAGCACTGATGATGTACCAAAGTACCTCGCGCCTGCCAGCCCGCCCCACCCCACGAGAGCGCCCAATGTCGCAACCACATGGGCAGAGTGCGTGAATTGACAGCCAGCTTGACAGCGCTGCCATGATTACAACATGTTCGCGCAGCCGGCGGAGACCCTTATTCTGAAGCTCCAGGCGCAGAGCTGGCGTTGGCGCATCCTTGCTTCTCACGCAGGCCGTAGCGGGAACCAATCAATAGTGCATGCCGTGAGGGGCTATGACGTCTCGATTCCTGTTTCGTATAGCTCCTGCCGCAGCTCCAACAGGTGACCGCATAGCTGCCTAGCTTCTCCTCTTTATAACTCCGCCTCGTCTCACCCTCTTCCTGCTTCTCATTGTCAACTCTCCCATAGATCCCTCAGCACCAATTGTTGCTGTACAGGTCCCGGAGTCCCATCACAACACCAAACCGCCATCATGATTGAGGAAGTCTTGAAGAAGACCTCGGAGATGTTCCCGCTGCCCACCGCGACGGCCTCGTCGCTGCCTTCGGTTGCTCCCATCCCAACCGTCGCCCCCGGACCTGAGCCCACCTACGAGGTTGCCGGCGATGCTGGAATGAAGACCCTCTGGGTCGTCTTTGTTCTCATGCTGATCGCCTCTGCCGGTTTCACCGTCATGTCCTGGAAGGTGCCTTTGGTGAGTACCATCTGGAGCTACTCCAGACAGCAGATTCTAACACCCCCTAGAACAAGCGCCTCTACCATGTCATCACCACCATCATCACCCTCACCGCTGCCCTCTCTTACTTCGCCATGGCCTCCGGCGCTGGTGTCTCCCTCAAGAAGGAGGTCGAGCGCGAGCAGCACGACCACGTCCCCGACACCTACAACGTCGTCTACCGCCAGGTCTACTGGGCCCGTTACGTCGACTGGACCATCACCACCCCTCTTCTGCTCCTCGACCTCGGTCTCCTTGCTGGTATGTCCGGTGGACACATGATCATGATGGTTGTTGCCGACATCATCATGGTTCTCACTGGTCTCTTCGCTGCCTTCGGTACTGAGGATACCGCTCAGAAGTGGGGCTGGTACACCATCTCGTGCATTGCCTTCCTTTTCGTCTTCTGGCACCTTGGTCTTAACGGTGGTGCCAACGCCCGCGCCAAGGGTGACAAGCTCCGCGGTTTCTTCATCTCCATCGCTGCCTACACCGCTGTCCTCTGGACTGCCTACCCCATGCAAGTCTCATCAATTCCCACGCCTCCCGATCTCATGCTAATCCGTTCCAGTGTCTGGGGTATTGCCGATGGTGCTCGCAAGGCTAGCGTCGACACTGAGATCATTGCCTACGCTGTCCTCGATGTCCTCGCCAAGGCTGTCTTCGGTGCCTGGCTCTTGGTTGCCCATGCCAACATGCGCGAGAGCGATGTTGAGCTTAACGGCTTCTGGGCCAACGGTCTCAGCCGCGAAGGTGCCATCCGCATTGGTGAGGATGACGGTGCTTAAATGTACCTCATCAGCACAATTGTCTTACTCTCGTGAGCATGTCAGCTGTGTCATAGCACGAGTACAGATTGATTCGACAAGCGTGGTTCACCTTGACTAAGAGGGCCGGAACCAGTGACCAAGATGGAAAAAGCGTACGCGGCATGTTCAGCTTCTGACTGTCCTTTAGGCAGTATCTCTCCTCAATGATGTAACTTTCTCATTACCGGAGTTGGAGGCTTGTCAATAGTCACGGGATTGGACGCCCATAATATGGACGTTTCATAGTTAATGCGATAATGATATTGATCTCGAACTCTCTTCCATATGAATCCGTGCCGGCTTACCGCCGAGCTCTTCTAAGCTGCCGCACCAGTACAATGAACAATACGAGTGATGTAATTTGGCCCTTTAACCCTTTGACCTCATCTCATCTCACTTAGTGAGATGTCTTGTTCAGATGTCTATATAGTTGGCGTGCTTGGCTCATTGTTGAAGTCACCCAACATCGATACCTTCCAGCATCACCAAGACCAACCATGTTCTCATCACTCTTCTCCGTCGTTGTCGCAACTCTCCTGATGCAATCAGCATCCTCATCGCCTCTCACGACACCACCTCCTTCTCTCTCGCCTACCCCATCGCCTACACCTTGCACCAAGACTGTCTTCACATTCCCTGATATCCAAGTTGGAACCTGTACCTTTAACGCCACAACAACGACGTCTACTGTTTTCACCGACTGTGCCGGATGTGCGCTTGAGACGATTAACCTTGGTGGTCTTGGACCGGTACGTACCTCTTTATACTATTCTGGCTATTGGTGGATCTAGTAAGCTGACTGTGGTGGTGATATGTGTAGGCGTGCGCCGCTGTTACGACGGTTCCGGGGACGAAGACTGAGACTGTTACGGCTTGTCAGTCGGCTTAGGTTGAGATGAGTGTAGCTGTGAGGTGGTGGTAGATGATGGTCGGTCTTTTTCTTGTAGCTCTCTTTGGTGTTGATGTTTAGTATGGTTTGTAGGATATTGTATACAAAGAATATGCCTATACTCATCCATTCCTCTCCTCCAGAGCCATCTGTGACTGCTCTGCCCATCCAAACACTCCTCCATACTTCCAAACAGATGACAGAAGTTTAACTATAGTTAGCATTGACGTTGTCGTACAGGCCGTTCTCGTGTAGATTCAGCTTAGCGTGTTTGTCGTTTAACTAGCTGAGTAAAGCCGGCCAACGCCGTAATTACCCACTCATGCACTTGCGCCCCAGATGATCGACCGACCGCAGGTAGCTGCCCAAGCTATGGGTCCCCCCATCTGTACTGCAGCCTCACGACTGCGACGCTGCACCTTTCGGCGCCTTGAACGAGAAAAAACGTAAAAAGACTCATTCGCCGCATCGTGACATCAGACGGCTGGGGTGCATGGACTCTCTGGCGGTCAGGTACGAGACTTCCGGCTGACGCGAAAGCGAAATCAAGGCAGTGGCTGTGTACCTGGATGACCCCACGAACACAATTAAGGGTACGAAGGAAGGATAGATGACAGCTGTTGCCATGGCAGGATGTCAGATGAAAACCTCGGGGAGACAAGATGTCTTGTTTGTCGCTCGTCTGGCGTAGGTAGGTGACGCCCGTCAGGCACCTGACGCGCTTCCAAGGTTTGCTCATGCAGGGATGTGCGGCTGCCCCGCAACCAAGCCGCGGTCGGGGTGGTGCGGTGCAACGTGATGGGGACGGAGCTTGGAAGCTCAGGCAGGCACCCGACAAACCAGCTTGCTTTGCTTCAAATACAAGTACCTGGAGCTAGCCCATACCTGCAGCTTCACAAGTTCCCTTTTGATCACACCCACACCTGCTTGAACTACTTACCACTTGCTCGACTTACTTACCCACTCAACCTCGATATCGACGAGCGAACTGACGAATTACTTCCAACATGGCGACTGAGGATATCAAGAACGAAAGCGCGGCTGAGGTCATCGTCGACGAGACACCCATCTCGCCCGTTCGCTCTCTGGACCGCCGGAACAGTTTGGAGAAACATTTGCAGCATAGGCCTGAGCCGCAGGATCTGAAGAACAGACATATCCTACTAGATACCACCACCGCTCCGTACGTCCCCTCCACCCTCCCACCTCCTCCTATCTCCCTTCTCCCACCCCATCCCCCTCTTCCCACTTCCCACCAAACCCCCCACTAACACCCCCTCCCCTTCCTAGTGCCCTCCAAGCCAAAGCCCTCGAACTCGAGCGCCAACGCGCAACCGACCAACTCAAAAAAGGCCTCAACGCCCGCCCCGAACGCGCCGACCTCATCGAGCGCAACATCCTGCCTGCCTCCAACGCCGCGCCTGCCCTGCAAGGACACCAGAAAGAACTCGATATGCATATCCGCGCGGATAATCTCGAGAAGGGGTTGCAGGCCAGGCCGAGCCCGGAGGAGCTGGTTAAGAAGGGCATTTTGGATGAGGGGGAGATTGGTAGGGAGTAGGTGGAGGGAGGGAGGGGGATAGAGGAGGGGGGAGGGGAGGGTGAGATGGGTGGGGTGAGATGGGTGGGGGATGTGCACAACGATACGAAAATGCGTTCGGCGTTGGTATGGAGATGAGATGGGAAATGTACGGGGTTTGCTTCGGCATTGAATACCTGCATAGTATATATATCACGAATCATGGAATGTTTTTTGCTCATACAGTCAGTTAGTAGCGTTCGCATCTCACACACTCTCGACATCACCATATCCAAGTCACAAAACCCAAGAATCTCTGCAAAGAGCGGCACGAAGCCCATGACTTCATTACAACATGTCTAGGCTACTAAGCTCCAGCCGCCTAGCTAACCCCAAACAGTAAATAAACCAGCGAACATCAATCATCCCGAGACCCGTCGATCTAATGACCGACCTTCTCCTCCCTGACCACAGTCGCATTCTTAGCATCCATGTCATCAGCGTGGTTCTCACGGTCCGCCTCCATGTTCTTGACCAACTCGGTAATACCGAAGAGGTCGTCCATCTTCTCGAGCGACAGGCCCTTGGTCTCGGGAATGAGGAACCAGACGAAGATGAACATGGAGAAGCAGAAGGCGCCGTAGGTGAAGAAGGTGCCGTAGCCGCCTTGGCCCATGGTGGCCATCATGTTGGGGGTTGCGCGCGCGACGACGAAGTTGAAGAGCCACTGTGGGTGTTTGTTAGTATGTGTATTCGCAGAGAGAGAGAAGGTTTGGGGTTAGAGTTAGGACGTACCTGAGTAGCAGCGGCGATGGCAACGTTGAGGGAGCGGAGACGAGCGGCGGGGATTTCAGAGACGTAGATCCAGCATACGGGGCCCCAACCGAACTGGAAGAACAGGGCGAAGAGGAACACGCAGACGAGAGCGAAGTATCCGGCTCCTGGTACTGGCTCGCCCATAATTGGCGGGTCGACGCGCATGTAGATGCCAATGTAGAACATGGCCATTCCCTGTGCAATCGATGTCCAGAGGAGCGAACGGCGGCGACCGAGCGAATCAGCGGCGAAGATGAGGAAAGCGAAGCAGCCGACCATCTTGACGATGCCGTAGATACCTGTGGCGAAGAGCTTGACGGAATTGCCCTTGAGACCGAGGGCGGCGAAGATCTGGGGCGCGTAGTAGTTGATGGCGTTTGTTCCGGTCATCTGCTGGCAAATCATGAGACCGATGGAAATAAGGGCGCGCTTCCGGTTACCGGGGATAGTAAACATCTCTTTGAGAAGGTCCTTGACGCTTGCACCCGCAACGAGCATACGCTCGTGTTCAAGCTGGTCGGCGATATCCTTGATTTCGTCCTGGACGTAGGCGTGCGAGTGCGGTAGGTTGCGCATGCGAGCAAGCACTGTGGTAGCCTCCTCCCACTTATCCTGCTTAGCGAGGAAACGAGGGGATTCCTTGTTCAGCGCCATGCAGCCGACGAGGAGAACGGCGGGGAGAGCCTGGAGAGCAAGAGGAACGATGTAGACTTGAGCGCCACCGGAGAGGTGCATGAGGGAGCCGTAGTTGACCCAGAAGGCGAGGCAGGTTCCTGTGGCGATGAAGAGTTGGTAGAGACCGGTGAGTCCACCGCGGATGCCACGGGGTGCGTTTTCGGAAATGTACAGAGGAACGACCATGGAGGCGCCTCCTACACCTAGTCCAGCGATGAAGCGGCCGACGTACATGGCTGCGAGGGCGCCCATGGCTACGGCTTGGATGATGCAGCCGACGATGGTGACGAGACCGGCGATTTGGAGGGCGGTCTTGCGGCCCCAGCGGTCGGCTACCCACGAGGCGATGAAGCAACCGGCGAAACATCCGGCTTGGAGGGTGGAAGCGATGTTGGCGTTCAAGTTGGCTTTGCCGACTTTGTCCAGGTTGGTGATGTTGTATTTGCTGCGTGGATTGTCAGTGTCGTGAGATGATAAGAAAATAAGTAGAGATACTCACTCCTGGAACTCCTTCAACTCGAGCACACCTCCAATGGTTCCGATATCAAAACCAAACAACATGCCACCAAAACAGGCGGAACCCGCCATGGCGAAGGCGCGCCATCCGTAGATCTCGTGAGGGTCGGATTTGATGGAGTCGTTCTTGACGATCATGCGAATAAACTTCGCGCCGGTGGATGGAGCTGCCATGATGTCGGGTAGATCGGGTGATGCTACCGTGTCGGTGGGAGAATAGATCTATCTTCTCATCAGTATGCATGACGCAAGGAGAAGCTGTTGTGGGACACAAGGACCGAATACATACCGACAGACAGAACGATCAAACCACAAGCTTGACCCTAGACCAGACGCTGGTGTATAGCACACCAGGTGTCGTTCGAAGAGAATAGCGAGAGAAGAGTGAAGATCTCCGCAGATTGCTGGTCTAAAAAAGCTCCCCAGTGGGATGTGCATGGCCATGATATATAAACAGCCAGACGGTACAGCGGCCCATGCGCTATCCTCGCAGCACTAGCTCCTTGCTCAAGACGGGGTAACTCGCCTGGTCCGTCACCGCGGTCTTTGCCCCATGGCTGGCCT